CCTCAACCCCATGGATTGAGGGACTCCCCTTCGGCATCTCCCAGGATATTAACAAAGCGCCTTCGGCAAATCAACACACACGCCCTCAGATAAGGATAGCCCTCAGCAACAATACTGTCATTCATTTCGGACCAAGGTTTCACCTTTTCGATTCATCGTTGGGGGAATTCGGTGCACTCTTTTTCCCTCATTAGAATTTTTTCCCACAGGGTTGTTTATAATGAGGTTTTTAACGAGGCATCCCCCCTAAAATGAAACGAAAAGCATCGGCCTTCGGCAACATGATAAAAGCGGGCACTACTCTACTCCTCTTCACTACATTACATGTGCCTCAAGGAGTGGGGGACTGGAGGACCCCTTAGGGAAAAATCACAAAAATGCAAAATGTCAAAAATCTCCCCAAAGCAGTAACATAATCCCCAAAGCAGTAACATAATGCTGACAAAGGACTCACAACTCCACAAACTACAAAGCAAAACGCCAGCATCAGAGGACAAATGCATTTACTCCTTTTCCCTCAAGTACCTTTTGGCAAAAGAAGTGAGGGACTCCTGATCGAGTATATGGCCCAGGGACCCCCGGCCCATAGACTCCTACTACTCTAATACAGGCCCAACAGACCCAGGAAGCGTGGCAGGCCCAAATCACAGCGCCCCAAGTAACAGGGGGCCCACGCTGCCCACGCAGCCGCCTTAGGCCCCTTGGCCGAAGGCTCAAATTCTCACAGAGCAGCTATTTCAGGCAAACGAAGTCACGGGGAGAAAACGGCGAAAACAGTAGCCTTCGGCACCTGGAGCCCTCGGCAGTAGGGTGCCCCCGGTGTGAGGAGCCTTCAGCTAATCATCTGCGGCCAAAGGCGCCTTCCTCGACAGAATCTCTTCTCCACATGCGCTGGATCACCGTACCAAGTACAAACGTCGCATCCAACCACCGCATTTAATGCGGGCACATGCGAATGCCAGTCCCACCCGGTTGAGGTGACCCCTCGACCGCCAGAATGTCGACACGTGTCCCTACCTAGCATTTATTGCCGCTATAAATAGCACCCCTTTCCTCATTTGTAAAGCACGCTCAATACATTCTCAGCAATACATATTCTCTCTCTTACTTTTACTCTGACTTCTCTCTACTCTCTCCCCGCAGTAACCCCTTGGATAAACTACCCCCGGGTACACTTATCCATCAGGACAATTTCTATTTATCATTTTGAAAACATTTTTTGTTTGTGTCGGGCATTTATTGTTTATAAAATGTACTACCTCCGTTCCTATTAAAACTTCCAAATAGGTTTGGCACACAGTTTAAGATAGTGGATATTGTGTGGTGGAGAGTTGTGCAGAGAAGAGAGAAATGTGTAAGAAATGTTTGAACCACAAATTCTTTACTAAAATGGGAAGTGAAAGTTTTAATTGGAACGGACGAAAAAAGAAAGTTGGAAGTTTATTTAGGAACGGAGGGAGAATTTTTTTGATTGGTATTTTTTATCCTTGGTGTAACTTTAGAGACAAAAATATCAGTGCAATTTTTTAAAAAACATTATAATTTGAGAAAATCGCACTTTTAGTCCCTCAAATAGTACCGATATTGAAATGTCATCCACATGTTACCAAGATTGTAACTTTCATCACTCAATTGTCCAAATTGCTGTAAATGTGGTCCTTCGAAAGGGGAAATATACAATGTGAGTGAAGACTACTTTTACACCAATTCTGTAAATTGACGGATTACATTTACATACTTGGGAATACGTACGGGGACTACAATATCTCAATATCGCTACTATTTGAGAGACTAAAAGTGCGATTTTATCTTATAATTTTATACTGTGTCTAATATTATAATCCTAAATAGGTCAAAAGTTATAAAAGTTATCAGTGTTAGTTCACATTTGACAACGAGAACCACATTTATAACAACTCAGACAATTGAGAGGTTACAAACTCAAAAATATGGGGATTACATTTAAATGTGTGTACTGAAATGCGATGCATTTTCCCAATCCAATTTACAAACATTTACTCATTATTTTAGTTTTATTTCTTCATACATACAAATCTAATTAATATTTAGGATACACAAACAATTTTTATATATAGATGATGACAAACACATAATTCCGTTGGATGTTCATCTTCGATTTGATTATCCACACTCTCCATCTCCGGCGACTTTCCATCTATGACGACTCCCAATCTCCAATGAATCTTTGAAATCGGATGATGAAGTGAACTAGGAAGATGGAAGATGATGAATATGGAATATGATAAATATGGAAGATGATGAATATATATATCAAATATGATAAATATGGAAGACAAAGATGAAGATGATGATGGTGGTGTAAAATAACACAAGATGATGAAAATGGAATATTGTGATTTGTGAATGCCAAGGTGATAAGAGGGAAAAAAGAAGAAAGAGTAATGGAGTAAAAGGAAACCGAGTAGAAACAGGGGTAAAAAGTGGACATTTATATGGCATACAAAAGATGTGCACATTTTGTGTATTTATTATTTAAACCACTAAATCATCTGAGTTCAATTCGTACATTATACATCTGGCTGTACGATGAACACCGTACAATCGACCCAACAAGGAACAAAATAATGGGCAGCGAAACAGGCCTATAATAAATCCATAAGTAATAGGCCCAAGAAAAAATAACAAAACAATTCGGTGGCATTTTTTGTAATTAATGTGAGAATCGCAGATTCTGCTAAATTAAATGAACATTATTGTACTGTTAATGAGCAATAGTCCAATTTTAAAGAGCACCGTGTTATTACAAGAAAGCTGATATCACAACAAAAAAATGGTGGCATTTCGTAATTTCAGTGAAAATCGCGGTTTTCGTTAGATAAACATTAATACACTTTTAATGAGCATCGGACGTATCCTACTAAGCATTAAGAGTTGAATAATGAGTATTGTGATATCAACTTCATATATTGTACGTAATTCACTTTCTTTTTCTTATTTTATCTTTTATAAACAGTTAGCATTAAATTATATCTATAATATAATCAACGCCTATAAGCTTCCATATGCGAATTTAATGTAGTATGATACTTTTGAAATATGCAATGATATGTCATTTTAAAAATGAGCATAATATCGGTATCATATGAGCATACGAAATGAGCATTAGAAGCCTAACAATGAACTTCAGTATGCGAATCTAATTTAATATGATACTTTTGAAATATGCATTGATATGACATTTAAAAAATGAGCATAACATGAGTACCAATTGAGCATACGTAACTAACAAAATGAGCATTGATATTAAAATAATAAGCTTTGTTAGTTAAGTATTAAGACATTTTCATTGACCATCAAACCTCCTCTATTGAGCATTAGAAACATGCAATTGAGCATCATGATCTCTATTATCATGTCTATAATCAACTTTCATGTGAATCTAATATAATATGATATTTTTGAAATATGCATTGATATGACATTTTAAAACGAGCATACCTAACTTACAAAATGAGCATTGAAAAAATTAAAAAGCTCATTTAAATTCTCTAATGTTTTCAAATATTCATTTGTGTATGCTCATTTCTATTAATCATTATACTCATTCGAATACAACATAAACTCTTTTCTATAATATACGTACGTATGTACATCTAGTAGATTCATTATTAACAATTTAATAAATTATCATTGTATATAACAATGCGGAATATGTAAATGTTTTATTAAAAATAATTTATAGTCTTTTGTTCTTGAATTACAAATATAATCGTTTTGTTTTTATAATATTTACTTGTGCACATTTATTTTACACTATACTCATTTTAGCATAACACAAAACTCATATTAGTAATAACACACAATATTTAATAAAATAATAAATATTTATCTTAAAATAAAAAACAGAAAAAACATACATTAATAACTGAAATATTTTATAATTGTATAAAATTAAAGTATAAAATTATTAAAGAAAAAAAAAAGAAAAACAAAGAAAGAAACCAGTAAAAGCAAGAAAAGAAGAAAAGAAAAGACAAGAAAAAACGTAAAAGTGACGAGCAGGGAAAGGAACGAAACAAAGAAAAGCAAAAAAAAAGAGCAAAGGTTAAAGCAACGAACAATCAAACAAGAGAGTTACGGCGATGCATGGCGGCTAAACAAAGGACAATGACAGAAACCAACTCAACAATGATCATCCTAACTAAAATTAGTTACAAAAATGCCGGTTGTACCATGCTCATTGTACAACCGGCTGTACCATATAATTTACCAAATTATCTGGAGCTCGTTTGGTAACATGATAATCGACTGATTCGGCTGATTCTACTGAAATTTATGAACTTCTAGCTGAAGTGACTGCATTGCCTGATTCTACTGTTTTAAGAAAAAATTTGTTTTAAAATATATTTTATTAATAATATAAAGAAAAAAAATTATATGTAAAAATAGCTAAAATGATCATCTACAGTAACTTCAGCTAATATAGTCAGAAAAGTAACTTCAACCTTACCTTTTCTTATTATTACACAATTCAGCGCACGAAAACAAAAGTTAGATGTTTGATGAAAAAGTTGGTTGATAAGCTTGATAAGCCGAAATACAGTGTTACCAAACGATCTCCTAATGTTTGTACCTTTTCATTACTTTTCATCTAATTAAATCATCTAACATTCTCACTTTTCATTTATTTTTTTAAACGCCGACACTAATATTATTTCCTTCACATAATCACATATGAAGAAATTTATATCTGACATTTTTATTTTACAAAACACTACTAGTATGTAGATTAAACCCCCCAAAGATAAAAGGGGGCTACTATATGAACGAAGGCCACAAAAATTTGACAACAAAAAATGTCACTTTCGTTTGTGTTGTTTTAGGTGTCCAAGCAATTTAACTTTTCCAGTCTTCGTGCTTAAATTTGGTTGCGTGCTTTAGTTTTCCACTTCAATCAATTCTATTATAAATAGAGAGCCATAAATCATCAAAATGCTTCACACTAAATCATCGAATTGAAGTACAAACTTACAAATTAAAGCTTCTTGTTTCTAGCTTCCCTTTTATATACGTAATACAAAACATGGAAATCAGTGGGAAGATCTACGCTAGAGTCCGGTTAGCCACCCGATCCGACATCACCCATATTGACAAGCTTTTTTATCAAATCCATCAATACCACGAGTTGACTCACCTCTACAAAGTGAGTGAGGAGTCCTTGTCCAACATGCTCTTTGGATCAAACCCTAACCCTCCTTTCTATACCCCAACCATCCTCCTCCTTGAGGTCTCCTCATCCGAGTTCCCTACTCCTACACCCGATAGTTCGGGTTTCGAGCCCATTGTCAAGTCGTTGGACCTGAAAGCCCCCGTTTTCGATAATGAATGGGAGCAGTTCAGGTCCAATGTTAACGACCACGAGGCTTATATAGCTGGGTATGCCTTCTTCTTCCCCAACTACTCCAGCTTCTACGACCGGCCCGGGATATTCTTCGAGAGCCTGTACTTTCGAGCGAGCTACCGGAAGTTAGGGTTCGGGCGGCTTCTCTTTTCCACCGTGGCAACCAATGCTGCCACCAAGGGGTTCTCGTCCGTGGAGGGGATTGTGGCGGTTTGGAACAAGAAATCATACGACTTCTACGTCGGCATGGGCGTCGAGATCATGGACGAGTTCCGGTACGGGAAGCTCACAGGAGATGCTCTTCAAGCGTATGCTAAGAAGGAGAGTGCTTGATATAATTGCATATCCTTAGAAACTACTCCGTGTAATAACAAATAAAATAAGTTTTTTTATACGTACGACTTCTAAGGTTTTCTGTTTGCGTTTGGTTTTCACTTTAGTGAAATAAATTATTCCCTCCATCTCATAAAATGTACGGAGTAATCAAGTTTGGCTTGCAAGTAAAATATAAAATAAAAACACCATGGTTTAAAGTTGTGCTGAGGAGAAAATTGCTTTATCCACCTATTTATTACTTTAAAGAGTTTTTGTCACTTTTAGTCCTCCAACAATTATGTCACCAACACTTTTGGTACTTGACTTTGAAACTTTGCATTTTTAGTCCGTCAACTATTGTGCCAAAGGCACTTTTTGTACACGTCTTTGAAAATTTCTATATTTAGTCCTTCGACTTTTATAGAAGTGACACTTTTAGTCTTTCAACTATTGTAATAGTGACATTTTTAGTCCTCTCAAAATCATAGTAAAAGGACTAAAAGTGTCAATTTCATAATACTCAAGAGACTAAATGTGAAAAATTTGGAAGTCGATGACTAAAAGTGTCTCTTACACAATAGTAAATGACCAAAAATGGAAAAATTAAAAGTCGAGTACCAAAAGTAGTGTCACTGAAACAATAGTCGGGGGACTAAAAGGGGCAAATACTCTTACTTTAAATGGAAACGACAAAGTTTTTCGGAATAGCCAAAAAATTGATCAGGATTTATGAGACCGAGAGAGTGGTTTCCATTCGCAAGAGATATGTATGAGTAAGACAAATTAAACGAAATTTTCCTGATACAATATTCGTATATCTTGTTTGATTTTTGCGATAATTCCTGAAAAATAGGAGTAAAAATGTCTGAGAATTCAAAAATGAAACTGCTATGTTTTCCCCCTGAAATGGGAGTAAAATGACAGTATTTACTGCAACCTCTGAATCATTACTTCCAAAATAGTTGCAGTACTAGGCATTAAAATGACATTATTTACTGTAACGTACGTACTAATGTCAGTATTTTTCAATCATGACAGTAACGACTTTTATTTTACAAATAAAAACATAATACTCCTATTTTTACATTCTAGAACATTTTTATTTCTCCTATTGAGGGAAATTTCGCTTGACTTTTACATGGACACACTAATATATTAGTGTATGTATGCTATTTTCTCAATTCTCTACGAATTTGAAGGCTCATTTATTGACACTGAAATAGGTTGAATCTGCTGAAATTTATGAAGCGCTAGCTGAATTCGCTGACTTATGAGAGAATTGTATTTTTTAATACAATTAAGAAAAAATTACATGAAAATAGCTAAATTAGTCTTCTACAATTAAGCCATTTCATTGAGAAAAGTAACTCCAACTTAAGCGAGAAAAAAAGTAACTCTAACCTTACTTATTTTGATTATTACATAATTCAACGCACGAAGACAAAAACACGTTTGAGGACATAGTATTGTCCTCATAAACTTCTCAGGAGGTCTCACCCATCCCAAGACTACTCTCGTTCAAGCATGGTTAACTTTGAGTTTTTGGAGCTGAGCTCCCTGTAAAATTAGATATGCACCTTGTTTGTATAAGAAGTACTATTGATCCTTTTAATAAATCTCAAGTATTATTATCACCCCGCTTAGGATCAACATGTCCTCTCTGCACCCATAAGTCAATCTCAATCAAGTCCCATAAACCTAAGTGCACGATTGATATCTACTAGATCAACACACTGTGACATGATATGGTTGCTAGTATGGCATGATATGTGTGGGAGAGGGGATTGTTGGAGCATAGTATGGCATGATAAATTGCAAGGCCATGACCACTTCAAATGGCACAAACAACACACTTGACGTCGATGAGAAAGGAACAAGCGTGGACATCAAGATGTATCGAGGAATGATTGGGTCACTACTGTACCTAACGACCAGTAGACCTGACATAGTTTTTAGCATAGGTTTATGCACCAGATTTCAGGATAATCCCAAAGAGTATCATCTCAAGGTCGCAAAAAGAATCCTCAAGTATCCATGAGATGCGAACTTTGATCTTGTTTCCTACTTTGACTCAGATTTTTTCTGTGGATTTACTCAACAGAAAAAGCACATCAGAGATGACTCATTTTCTTAGTCCTTGTCTAGTGTCTTAGGCTTCTAGGAAACAAAATTCAGTTGCTCTATCTACGGTTGAGGCCGAGTATGTTGTAGTTGCCTCATGTTGTGCTCAATCAATATGGATCATGCAACAAGTAAGTGATTTCGGTATCTCCTTGAGTTGTACTCCCAAAATGTGTGATAATACAAGTGCAATTAGTATTTCAAAAGATCATGTCATGCACTCATGCACTAAGCACATTGACATTCACTACCATTTTCTTAGAGATTATGTTGAAAAGGGTTTGATTTGTTTAGAATATTGCTGCACCGAAAAACAAATAGCTGACATTTTTACAAAATCTTTGGGGAGGGAACATTTTGAACTAACAAGGATGTAACTTTGGCTGATCTATGCATAAATCTTGTTTTACATATCCATTTTTTTCCTCAATTACATTTTTAATGCTTGAATGTATTCATCTATTTATTGTTTTGTTGTTGACAAAGAGGGGGAGAACAAGTGTCCTATGTGTCCTATGCTTGATGCTTTATGCTTATTCATTCTGAAAAAACAGATTATTCATTCTGAAACTAACTTTAGGGCACCAAGTGTTTTTCATCAACAAAAAAGGGAAATTTTTTGGAACGTATTGTTTGTTGATTACAAACAACTATTTTTACTTTTTTTGTTTATAACTGAGTTCAGGGAAATAGTTTAAGTTGTGCTCTAGAACAAGACGTAAACCTGGTCCTAGAACTACCCTGCGAATCCAAGATTGATTAATTTGACTTACTAAAACGTATTTTTCTCTCCACTCAAATTCGGTTTTTCCTTGCTAAATTTAAGAGAATTTTCTAGTAAGAAAAACAACCAATGATCATATAAAGAAAGGATAAATGATTTTTTTCCTTAAAGGAAAGTTATTTAATTAAACGCATTAAATAAGAGATCTTTCCACAAAGCAAGTTTCCAAAAAAGGAGTTCTTCAAAATTCAAATTACATCTTCGTGCATCTCCTCTCACAAGGAATGTTTTCTTAAGAAAATTGTTTTTCTTCAAACACATAAAAAGAATTCTTTTAAGGTGAAATCATACTTTTAGTCACTGAAATAGTCACTATATTGAAATGTCAGACTTGTATTTCTAATATTGTAAATGTCACTCCTCAATTTTCCAAATTGCTGTAAATGTAGTCTCTTGAGGGGTGAAATGTACTCCATGTCCACATTGTACATTTCACCCATCAAAGGACCACATTTACAACAATTTGGACAATTGAGGGGTGATATTTACAAACCGGGGAACACGGGTCTGACATTTCAATATGGTGACTATTTAAGGGACTAACAATGCGATTTTCCCTTCTTTTAATACCTATAAGGAGACATTTTTTAATCATTTTCATACACAAATGACCAAAAATATATGTGAACATCCGAGCACATTAAAGAGAGTACATCAAGTCATGATACAACACATTTAAGAGAATCGAGTTCAAAGGAAAGAATTCATCTTCAATTGGAAAGATACAACAAAGGAGAGTTCAATCCATGGTGTTTGGTTAATCAGCTTTTTTATTTGCCTTTTAACCAGATTAATCAGCTAATATGGTGTTTGGTTAATCAATTTTTTTTTGTTTTTCCTCCTAACAACTAAAATTCGAAACGTCAATAAACATTTAAGTGTTGGCCATTTAAATATTTAGCTGATATCCCTCTTATGTCCACGGTGCCTCCTCATCTTCTTGTCGTCAGTTCCGTATCTTCCGCAAAAGAAAAAGCAGCATTGTAGCTATCTTTCTCCTTCACTTTGTTCGAAATCCGTTTTTCCTCCCAGTCTCAGTATATGGCCGTGTACCTCTTCTTCAAATTAATAATCTTTTCGATTATTCTGTTTCACAATACTTTCACACACACGCGTATATATATACTGGAAAAGTTAGGGAAAATTATACAAATAAGACTTAAACATATCTACTTTCCAAAATTAGGAGTAGAAGCTTGCGTAGGACATAAGTACATATGTTTTGACCATTATACCCTTCATTTAAAATCAATTGCTTGACTCAAAGAAAAATGGTAGCGATGAATTCTTCTTTGGAGTGGACTTGACGGAGAGCATCAACGAGCTTCCAAATCAATCTGCTCCATCTAGTCCTTCCCTTGGCGGCGGCAACGAGGAATCCCTAAGCAGTCTCCCGAATAGTATGGCTCTCAACCATAGCAGATGGGGTCTCATTTCTTTGGCAGACTTGGCGGAGAGCATCCATAAGCTTCGACGAGTAGATCTGTTGGTAGCCCAGTTCTTCCACGTCAGTCCATCCACAAAGTAGGTTCCGTCTATCCCGTTTTGAATCGTCCGATTTCATCCGCTTCTTCCGTGATAGGTTTGATTGACATTAGGATTTGCGATCGAAGATGATAATTTTAACGTATCAATCAGCGAAGTCAGTGAGTTTCAAAATTAGAAAGCTCCTATATCTTCGTGGTATTGTAGATCGGAACTTGGAAGTTGGAATTTTGAGATTCAAATTCAACTGAAAATTAAAGTGCATGAGTAGGCATTAATTAGTCCTTAATGGCATATGCCTAGACGTTAAACGCGTACAGTTGAAGTAAGCATAAAAATTAAGACAAAAGTATAAAGGAAATATAAAATTTAATATAATCAATTGCTGAAATAATGTTTAAATGTGTTTATGAAGCATAGAAGTAATACACATCACATGATATAAATATAAAGTTGTTAAAGGTAGAAAATGTAGTCTTACTTTAGTGTTATCATAAAGTACTTTTGATATATGACTATGCAATGTCTTAGTGTTGATGTGAATCCTTACGTTGTCTTCTTAATAGTCAATGGAAGAGGAATGTATGTCTATTAAATTCATCAAATAATTTTTTTGGTGCACAAGTGAATCCATGACAGCAACATTGAGATCAATAAAAATATCCACCGAATAGCATCGTAATAGCCGCGGACGAAGCTAATTACATTAGAGACGAAGCGGATTGAGATCGGGGCGGGCAGCAGAAGTTGTGGTCTGTAAATATCCACCGTGAAAGCCATTAATGGAATCACCGACACTAGCCAATCGAAATTTGAAGACGCTGTCACGACCATGTTGGGTTG